GGAAAACTCCCGGAGGGTAAAAAAACGTTTGGATTTGCAAAAAAAAAAAAAAATTTGTAACGCGCGCCCCCCCCCCCGCGTACGTGGGCGTTTTTCCCCCCTCTCTCTCTCTCTCTTTCTCTTTCCCCCCATCGAAAACGTTTTAATTTTAATTTTAATAGGTTTTATTTTAGGTTCGTATCAGGTACGTTAGATAACGATTTGATTTTTGAATTTTTTTTTTTTTTTTTTTTTTTTCACACATATTACGTTTCGGTTGGGGGAGTTAAACATAGTTTTAGCTGTGACCCGGTTTCAATTTTACGTCATCAATATACACGACGTTGCGCAGTGTTTGCCAATCCCGGACGCCCTTTTGTTTTTTTTTTTTTTTTCTCTCTCTTTCAAACGTTCGCCATTTTGATAAAATGAAAAAAAAAAAAAGGAAGGGATTTAGTTTATTGCGAGAATGGGATCTAATAAGTTTATCTAATAACTTTTAAAAAAAATTTTTTTTTTTTTTTTTTTTTTTTTTAATATAAAACGTTACGAAATAGCGGAAGGGAACTTTTTTTTTATTTATTTTAATTATTATTATTATTAATTTTTTCGTACGCATCATTCGTTCACGCACATGCACGTAAGATAAATCAAAGCGTGTGTTACCCCACATATTGTAAATTTATTTAAATGTTTTTTATTAATTTATTTTTGTTTAAGGCGTCGATCGATGTGATGATCAGTTGGCTTTACAGGTTTGTTAAAAATTTATATCAAGAAAAATGCGTTTTTTAATCGATGGAAAACGTAAGGAGATTGGAAAAGTATTAACGGTCGATCAAGAAAGAAGAAAAAGATGGCGGTGGAATGGATTCCATTCAGAGAGGATTTGAAGACAAAATGGATCTTTTTTTTTTATATTCCTTTTTTTATTATTGGTAAATGTGGTAGGCGAGAGTGATAGACTTGGGCTGAGATTTGTTACCAGTCAGTCTTTTTCTCTCTCCTATTCTTTTTGCCAGTTTCATCATTATTATTATTATTATTTATGGCCAACAATATCAGATGGAGGAAGATGATTGGAAAAGGATTATTGGAAATGAGACGGGGTGGAGGAGGGAGGAGGGATGAAATAAATGTTTGTAATTAAATATGTTTAGATTTTTTTTATTATAATAATAATAATAATAATAATAATAATAAAATGATTGTTGTTTGTTTTTGTAATTTGTTTTTTATGTATTATTTTATTTATCTCATTACATTTATTCAACGATTCATTCCTTTTCTTTTCTTTTATTCAATTCATATGTAGATGGTTATTTTAATTATAAAAAATTTTATTTCCATTTTAAAAAAAAATAAAGGTTTTTTTATTGCTAAGTTTTTCAAAAAACGTGACCTGCCTTTATAAAATATGCAATATGTGACTGCGTGGCACATAAAAAACATGTACACGAGTTATATTAATTCATTTCTCACGAAATTAGATACTTTATATATATATATATTAGCACTTTGAAGCCAACAAAAAAAAAAAAAAGAAAAAAAATTTTTTTTTTATCTCTTTTTAACGTGAAGAAATCATGTTTGTGGCTTCGTGTTAGGCCTTGACATAAATTTTTTTTTAAAAACTCATTGTATTATTGTCTCTAACACAAATAAATGCTAAATTAATATTCACGAATGGCGGAATTAATATGAAGAGAGTAAAGAAAGAAAAAAAAAAAAAAAAAAATTTTTTTCGTTCCGTTTGCGTTTATTATTCATTTGTTCCGTCGTTAATGAATGATGAGCGACGACTGATTCGTATAAGACCTTTGTCCTTATGAAAAAATAGTTCGAGAATCGATATATCGAATTATCAAATGACGCGCAATAAAAATATCGATTTTCGATTTTTTTTCCGTTTTCGCGGGTCAATCGTTAACCACAAACGTATAGTTAAACGAAGATTTTGGCCGCCATATTGTTCTTTTTGTTCTTTTTGGAATATTTCAAACGTTTATTGATTTTTAAAATGATTATTATCACATTTGAAAAATTTAAAATGTATATTTTATGTTAAATAATGTATTTTTATTTAAAAAAAAAAAAAGAAAACAAATACGTTTGAAGTATAAAAAAAAGAAAAAAAGGTTTGGATTATTATAATTAAAAATATTTGTTTGTTAGTGGAAACAATTTTCTTTTTTTTTTATTTTCACATTCATTATTATAAAATGTAATTGTTATTCACTCACGCACACACACACAAACACACAATTCTTATTATTTAAATTGTCTATTATTGAGTTGTCGAATTATTTATTTATTTACAAAAAAAAAGAATGTTTGTGTGTCAATTTGTTTGCAATTATATTGTTGGGACAAATTGCGTTTATTTTATTTTAACAAATTTATTTTTTTTTATTAAATTAATAAATAAAAATTATCATAAACATTTATTAAAATTTGCAATGTCATTCATTATTCACTTCATTTTATCTTTTTTTTTTTTTTTTTTTTGTAGGATGATGTATTTAAGTTTAAATGTAAATAAAACTTCATTTTGATGATGATGATGATGATGATGATGATGATGTGCAAACAAAAAAAAAAAAAAAAAAAAGTTTCGGCATTAGAAAAAGAATATTTGCCCAACCCAGTTAGAATTTTTTTTATTTTTAATTTTTTAACATGAGAAGAATGTTTAATATTGTAAAATCAATGACACATATTCTAAGGTAATAAGAACATTAATAACTGTAAGTAATATTTAATAACTAAATTAATTTATTTATTTATTTAAAGTTTTTATTTATTTAAAATTTCACTATATTTTTAATTTTTTCTTTTTATTATAGATAATAATAATAATAATGAATAACGTTTAAAAGATTGTGGAAAGTTGTTGTGGTTGTTGTTGTTGTTTTCATCCATTTCAACATAAAAAGCTGTTTGAAAAATTAATATGACTGAAAATGTAAATGATAAATTGAATTTCTATGTTATGTGGGGGAAGAAATGGGGGGGAAATGAGGAAATGTTGTTTATTTTATAACTTAGCATTAGAAAAGTTCAATTATAAATACAGAAAAATAATAATAATAATTATTTGTGTACTACTACTACCAAGACTTCCATCATTTCAAATGATTGTTTTTTTTTTCTCACATGGAATCTAACAACCTTTTCTTACAAAAAATATATAAAATATATATCAGATAATAAGAAATAAAAAGAAAAAGGTTAATAAATATATCATCATCATCATCATCATCATCATCATTTAAAAGAAAAAAAGGTTTTGTGAATATTTTATTATAAATTTTTCTCTTTTTTTTTTTGTTTTTGTTTTTGTTGTTATTTATTAAAAGTTTTGTTTTTATTAAAAAATAATTTTTTTATTTTTCAGTCACATGAAACAATAACAATTTAGGAGAGGAATAAACTTTTTGTCCGCCATTTTTTTTTTTTAAATAAAATAAATGACACTCATGATTGGAATTAAATAAAATAATAATAACATTTTAAAAAGGATTATGCAAATAGAAAATGTTTATAAAATTTAAGGTATATCATTCCACAACCACAAATTTATTTATTCTTTCAAATGCAATTTAAATGTTATGTAAACCTTATTATTATTATTATTATTATTATTTCAACGATATGTATTTTTTTAAAACCTGAAAACAAAAAAATAAGGATTTGATTAATTTTATGAATCAATTATGTTATTATTATTATTAAAACACTTTTTAATTTTATTATTATTATCATTAGGAAAAGAAAAGGAGAGAAATGAAAAAAGAAAAGAAAAAAGAAAAAGAAAAAGGAAAGTTCTAGAAAATGATTCGTAAATAATAATTGTGTGTCACGAGGGAAAACTCCATGAATAATATTTTTTTCCTACCACAATTATTATTATTATTTATTTCTTTTAAACAATTAAAATTTAAATAAATGAAATTATTTTACATGAAAAAATTATATATTCGAATTCCTAATAATAATAATAATAATAATAATAATATAATAAAATAATGCGTTTGTATTTATAATAATAATTAAGTTTTAAATAGAAAAAAGAAAACATTTTGTTGTTGAGATTTTCCGGTGAAACTTTTTTATGTTCTTTTGTTTTTTGTTTTGTTTCAATTATTATTATTATTATTATTATTATTTATTTGTAATCGAAAGTTATGTGTCGAACATTTAATTAATTGTATCTAATTGTTTTCTTTTTTTTTCAGGTATTTTTTTATCTACTCGTAACCGAGCGCAAGGGATTACAAACAACACAATCAGGATGAATATTTACCACCCTCCTCCCCCCAGCAAAAAAAACCAAAGGGGAGAAAGAAGAAGAGGAGGAGGAAGAAGGGAAGAAGAAGAAAAAAATAATAATATTTCACCTTGGATGATGAAGAAAAAGAAATAATTTTATGTGTTGAGGATCATGACCCTTTAAAAAGGAAATTTAAAGATAAAATCCTATCATATTTAAGTGCACCACCATTTCCGGAATGAAAGAAGACCGTTTAAACGTTTTTTTTTTTTTTTTTTTTTTATATACGAAATGAACGGGACGTTTAGTATCTCTTCGACTCTCTTTTCGAACGAAGCTTCTACATCTTCATACATATAGAAATATATACATTTTTAAAACAATAATAATAATAATAATAATAATAATACATCAAACAGTCTGTCACAAAAAATAACGTCGTGAAATGTATGAAAAAATTCATTTTTATTTTGCTTTAATAATTTTTATTTCATTGTTTTTTATAACAACGGGTGAGTTATTTTAAATTTTAAAATTTTAAAGCTTTTATTTTACACCAACAAAAGATTTAAAATTTTTTTATAAATATACATAGAAAAACAAATATGGCGATCGATTGATGAATTTTTACAATTACATATGAATTTATAATTATTTGAATTAAACGCACGCACGCACACACACACACACAAAAACTGGATAAAATCATTTAAATTTTGCAGAAAAAAAAAAAAAATTTCTATAAAAGAGAATAATTTAAAGAAGATTTTATTTAAAAACAAATTTTTACAACAAAAAAGAATCTCTCATGTGAAAAATTTTTCAGAAGAAAAAAAGAAAAATGGAAGCTTCATCAAAGCTTAAATAAAATTTTTATTTATTTATTTGACTCATTATTATTTAATATGTAATTTTTATTACTGTGGGATGTGTTTGTTTGCGTGTGTGTGTGCGTGTGCGTGTGCGTGTGTGCGTTTAAAATTAACTAAAACAATTTTTAGTTTGTTTTAAATTAAACGTTTTGAATGTTTTTTAAACGCCATTTTAAAAAAACTTTTTTTTTTTTTTTTTTTTTTTTTTTTTTTTACAGGAAGTTATTCGAGGGACACAATTGATGGATGCACGCAAAGAAGAGGATGTAAAATAGAAAATGGACAATGCGTTTGCGGTACGGGTTGTTATTACGAATACAGGTACTCGTCAAAATCCGAATGTTACAAAGCGATCAAAGGTAAGATTATTTAAAATTTTAATGAAAGAGGGGCGCGGCGGGGCGGGGAGGAGGAGGGAGTACGGGGAGGACGTGGAATGTTCTCGTCGTACAAAAACGCACACATTAAATTTGTTAAATTTTTTGATTAACGCAGGTCGGGAATATGATTTGTGTCAAAGAAATCCATGCAGAAATGGCGGAACGTGTAGTCAAACATCTCACGAACCTGGATTTAAATGCCGTTGCGAAGGAACGGGTTTTTACGGTCAAAGATGTCAGTATGGTATGTACCTATCAATTCTAAAAATTAACTTCAATACCTAATCCGTTAATTATTATTATTATTATCATTATGTTTTAGCTTGTCCTAAAATAGGTGCCCCACTTCAGGGAGCATTTCCATACGAATGTATTGTTATTTGAAGGCAGCTACAATTATTATATGTTTTTCTAAACCCATACAAACACACAACAACCATCAACAAAAACAACAACAACAACCTGTAAATATTAATAAATTCGGACATGTATTTAAAAATATGGGAAAGGGAAAAGTAACAAACGACAAACGAACAAACAAACAAAAAATAAACGGTTACAAATATGATGATTGCTGTTGATTATTTCTTATTAATTATTAAACAATTAATATTTGTCGTTTATAATAATAATAATAATAAATTCAAAATATGATTGATTGATTGATTGATTGGGTGGGTTGGTGGGGAGTGGGAGGGGGGAAAAGGGGGGGGGAAGGTGGGAATAAATAACAATTAACCGAAAACGCCTTTAAATTTTTTTTAAATAAGCCGACAAGCCGACTACTAACTCTTCATAATTATTATTATTATTATTAATATAGCTTTAATACTTATTTAACAAATTATTATTATTATTATTATTATTTTTTAATACTCTTTTTATAATTATTATTTATGAGTAAAAAAAAAAAAAATTTTACTTGAATTTTTTTGTTATCAAATAAATTAATTTGATTTTTTTTTGTTGTTGTTGTTTTTGTTGTCGTCGTCGCCGTCATCCTCTTCCTCCGTAATTATTATTATTATTATTATTATTATTATTATGTTCGTTATTTTAACAACAAATTATTTAAAATAATTATCATAAATTGTTTTTTATGTGTAGGCGCAATAAAAAAAAAAAATATCAATTTTATTTAAATGAATGGTTGTTAGGCCATCGTTATTTCTTAAACGTTTTTTTTTGAGGTTTTAAATAAAAAAAATATTATTATTATTATTATTATTATTATGTGCATACGCGTTGCAATATCGTTTTGTTTAATTTTAATCCGAAAAGGTTAAAGTTCAAAGTGTATGAATTGCGTCAAGTCAATAAACCTTTTACTCTTTTCATTAGAAAATATACAACTGCACATATAATAACGAAAAAAAAAAATTTTTTAAAACGATTAATCGATTAATCGATTAAAAATCGATATATCGATTATTTTTCTTCTGCTCCTACCGGCAAATCCGTCGTTATTTATTCAAGTATTCGGGTTAGTAATAAGGTTAACGATAACAAATTAATTTTTTTTAAAAACCGTTACGAATATAAATTAAAACTTTTTACTTTTTTTATTATTATTTATTTAACTATTATTAATTTTTACAACTAAAAAAAAAACTTATTTGAATTATTTAAGAACTTTTAGTGGTAACTTTTTTGTTTTTTCTTTGGTCCTTAATGAAAAATAACTTAAAAATCGATTCTAACATTATCCGAAAGGAAACGAAAAAGAAGAAACATTTTGAAATCTTTAACGGTTTTTTTGAGAGAGAGAGAGAGAGAAAATAAATAAAAAAAAAAATTTTTTTATTAGTGAAATTATTATTTTTCACTACATTCTAAATAATTCTATCTTGAAAATTTGAATCGCATTTATTTTCTTTTTTTTTTTTTTTTTTTAAACAACTTGTTACATTTTTCTTTTTTTTTTTTTTTTTTTGGGGGGGGGCGGGAGGGTTTCGACTAAAACATTTATTTGCTTTTCCATCTCCTCATATGAATATGTTGTCGGCAACGTAGGCGTCATAATGATCGACTTCAACGAAATCTTTTTGTCCTTTTTGTCGAACGTGAAGATTTAACGTCGAATGCGTTTCCGTTTTCGTACTTCCATCCGATTTCGGCCAAGTGACTTTGATTTTAACGGCGCAACCGGGAGTGACAACCTTTAAAAAAAATATTCATTTACGTTTACATAGATAAAAACAAACAAAACAAAACAAACAACAACAACAACAACAACTGACTCCTTGTTCGTGTCCGGCGGCAATTTGACTTATCAATCGTCTTTCGACTTCGTATTTGATCGATCTCGCGCCATAATGTACGTCGTAACCATCCGCTAAAGCGGCTGCAACTTCCGGATCCCACGTTAATTCGATTCCATGTTTTTCAAATGCCTGTAAAAAATAATAATATCCGTTACGAAACAAAAAGGATTTCGACAATATCACACGTGCACGCTCGTAAAAAATTAATTATTATTATTATTATTATCAACCCTTTTTTTCCAGTAATCCAATTCTTTGGTTACCAATTTCAATAGTTCGGATTGTGAAAATGGTAAAAAATAAACGATTTCGTTTATCCTTCCCAAAAATTCATCTCTTCGAAAATGTCTTTTCAATATCGGTTGTACAACTTCCTCTTTGAAATCCCTCGAAACGGTCACTTGTTCCGTCATACTCGCATTGTCTTCTATACAAAAAAAGAAAAAGAGTTTGCAGAAACAATTTTGTTGACGTGTCGTTAGAATATTTATTTAAAAAAAAAAATACTTTTCTTATCTCCGCTACCTCCCTTTCCCTCCATTTTATATTTATTTTTATTTATTTCTTCTGCTTCTTTTCTCAATTGTATGGCATATTCGGCAATTTCATCGCTCGCCAAATTTGACGTCATTACAAAAACAGCATCTTTACACATAATGGTTCGTCCTTTTCCATCAGTCAATCGACCCTTTATCAAAAACAACCCCCCCCCCCATCCCGAATAATTAATTTCGTTCTATGGAAATTTTAATGTCATTTATAAAGTTTTTTAATAATAATAATAATAATAATAATAATAAATTACTTCGTCGAATAATTGTAGTAAAACCGTGAGAACATCCGGATGAGCTTTGTCGACTTCGTCAAAAAGCACAACAGCATTTGGAAATTTTTTTAATCGTTTCGTTAATTGACCTCCATCGTCGTGACCTATGTATCCCGGAGGAGCACCGATTAATTTTGCAACCTTTAAATAAAACACTTTAGAGTTTTCATTTATAATTTTTGACCCATCGACACACTTAAATATTGTATTTTAATTAAACACTAATCCTTACTTCGTGTTTTTCTTGATATTCGCTCATGTCTAATCTAATGAAGGCATTTTGTTTGTCTTTGTGTATGTACCTGGCTAATTGTTTGGCCAATTCCGTTTTTCCTATACCTGACGAACCCAAAAATAAAAATACCAAAGGATGTTCGTCATCTGCCCATCCATTTTCTTTTCTTCTAATAGCTATGTAAAAATAATTACATTTTTAATATTAACCATGAAAAACACATACAAATTGTAATGATTTGTGATTTAAACCTGCTGCCACTATCGCTATGGGTCCCTCTTGTCCCACTATATGTTCTTTTAGTCTCATTTCGATTGGGAATCGTCTCCTTTCATCAGCTTCCCTTTGCTTTTGGATTTCGTCAAACTTGAAAAAAAAAAAAAAAATTAATTTATTGTATTAACCGTTTTCATGTTTGAAAAATTGTTTCATGTTCTTGGTGAAATTGACCATCACCTTTACGGCATATTTTAACAACATGTTTTTAACATCTCCTTCTCTTGCATAATCAGATGGACGATGACCAGCATCATTTTCTTTCAAAGGGTTAGCACCACCTTCCAAGAGTGCTTCAATAACTTCAACATCATCAGCCAAAACAGCATAATGAAGAGCGGTAAATCCTTGAAAGGTAGCTCTATTGTTAAGCCTATTACTAAATTCTTCTTCTCGAACCATTAAAACTAAAATAAATTACATTTAAGAGATTTTTAAAACTTATCTCAAACAATACTTGTGCATGACAAGATTGAAATTGTAGCATTTATATCCTAAGTACAAACCATTCATCGAATGCAATCCTTTTTCAATTGCAGTTCTTTGAATATTAATAAAATCGTCTCCTAAATCAGGATCAGCACCGGCTTTGAGTAAAGCTTTCACCACCCCAAGCCTGCTATTAATTGAAGCTACATGGAGAGCTGTCCATCCCATTGGATGTCTGGTGTTCATATCCATTCCTTCTGATGCTAGACTATATGTTAAATATTGAAAAGACTTAATAACGAGAAAAAAAAAAAAAAAACTATTTTTCACTTAGTCGTATTAAATATTTTACTTACTTTTTTATTTCGGTATCATTTCCATACTGGGCAGCTCTGAATAATCTTTTCTCTAGAATTTATAAAAAAGAAATTAATTAAAGACACTATGAAGCAAATTGTACGTTTTTATTATTTAAAGTGCCAAGGATAATTTATCATTTTCATATATTTGAAATCCATCAGATTCACAACTTACCGTTTACATTAATTTCTCCAAAACAACCGGCGACAACCAAAGACAAACTTCCAGGTAAGATTTTCCATTTAATAAAATCATTGTCATACCATTGTTTTTCATTACTTCTTTGATAACGCTCGTAATTATTTTTGTAAAAATTTATTTTTTGAATAAAATCAAAATTAGGAACGTAATATTGTCGTAAGTACGAATTGATACATTTTTTAGTTATTGCTCCATTGAAAGTTCTAAAAATCGTACTGTCATGTAATTTAATTTTTGTACACTTTTTAAATCTCTTTAATTTAAAAATATCGATAAGTATTTTGAAAATCAATGACTCTTTTTCCATACTTTAAACTAAAAATCGAAAGTTACATCATTTTCATGTAAGTGAACAGTAACCAGAAAGCTCAAAAACGTGGAATCAGATTTTTTTTATAACCACGTTTTCATCACACATGATTTAAAAAAATATTCAAAAATTTTTATGGACGTTTAATAATTGCCAGATTTAGATAAGATATTAAATTCTCTTCCTAAGATTTTTCGAATTTCATTCAAATGAAGAATTCAAATTAAAATTTTAAATTTAATGGTGTAAAAAATTATGAATCGTGTTTAATTAAGCTTTCGAAAAACGATGAACATTGAAAAGTAGTGATAAAATGGTAAAGGAACTCTATTATGGAAATGTAAATAAAAACACAAATTTATAAAAACTAAAAAATATAATTTATTTAAAATTTCAATTGATTTTTGATGATAAAAAAAAATTAGGTGATCAAAATTTTGTTTCGATTAAAAATTCTAGTTAATTCTTCTTTTTTTTTTACAAAGAAGTCAAATTAGAATTAAACAACACATAATTAAATATTAAAATATACACATACAGTAAATTGTGCAATCGGTCAATTTCATATTATATATACAATTAAACAGTTGAATTCGATTTTAATAAGAAAAGCTAGTTCATTGAGAGATGATTGTTGAACATGGTTTTTGCGAATTTTGCAAATATTTTTGTATCTCTTCAGCGACATTATAATTTTTAATTAGTTTTTTTTCTACAGCTTTGTAGTCATCTAATGTAAATTGTTGATGTTTCATTTTTTTAATTTCTTGCATAATTTTTTTAAAATTTTCTCTATGATTATCCTTTGTCGAAGCCACTACTGAGTTTTCCTTTAAAAAAAAAAATAATTAATTACTTAAATTTAATAAGAAACTTTAATAGTAATTAGTTTTAACAATTACAAACAAATAATTAATCAAAATAAATAAGATTTGGAAGTGCAACTACAATACAATAATAATCGTGTAGGTTTTTTCAAAACACAAAAAGCTTCACACTAAAAGGGGTGATACTCACTAATTGTATCAATTCTAATTCTGTCATTTTATTAAATATTTTCATACATTTTTGTGGAATTGTTTTCCTTCTTCTCACGACAACAGCCAATACTTTTTCTACATCTTCAGAATTATCTAAAATATTAATAATAAGTAAACTAATGTTTGATTTGATAGAAGATTTATATCAAACCCCCGGCATAACAAAACTAAAATCATCATAATTTAATTATTATTAACATTTCTTTTATAAATTTCAAAATGAAATCAAATTATAAATAAAAAAAACGATAAACAAACCTGCGAGATTAATATTTTCTTTGTTATTATCATTGTCCATGATTATATCGAGGCGTTGGTTACGCCATCGTGTCATTAGAAATTACCGTTAACTTTGTATCGAACGAAAAACAATACCATTGGCTGAGACAGATAAAAAGGACGATTTTGATTGGTCGATTCAAAAAAGAGTTTTTTTCCTTTTCTTTTTTAAAAATTTAAATATAATCGCATTATCTATTTTGTTTTATTTAATAATTGACACGTGAATTATTGATAAAATCCCAGATATAGATATTTTTGATAATACTAATAATAAATAAAAGTTTAACTTGTTTTTCTATTGATTAATTTCATTTATCGACAAATTATATATAGATTTTTTTGCGATTTGGAAACGACGACTTGATTACATAATCATTTGAAAACCTTCACATCTTTTCTCTTAAAATTTCCCATTATTCAAAAAAAAAAAAAAAAAGGGACGACGAATTACGTAATTGAACTTGCTCCTATCACCTTTAACCCTCACTTTTTTTTTTTTTTACATATTTAAATGTATCATATACAAATTATTTTAAAACTAATCAACAAACTTACAATATAAAATAATTTTCTAATGGAACAAATGATATGATTCAAAACAAAACGGATAATAAAAAAAAAAATACACATAATTTTATTCAAAAAATTCTTTTTTATAATTCAGACTAAATGCAATCAATCAAAAAACTATAATAAGCGTTTTTTTTTTTTTTTTTAAGGTGATGGCGAACGTAAAAGACATTTTTTTTTCTCCATCTCACTTTGTGAAGACGCCGCCATATTCAAAACTAAATTTCCAACGATCACTTTATCCGTTTTGAAAATTTCTTTCTTAAATTTAATAACATTTAACGATATTTTTTTTTTTGTATTTTACACGATTCGTTTCGTACGGCGTCATCCCCGCAAATCATATTTAACAAAAAAAAAAAAAAGAAAATCCGATATTAATTATAAAAAACAAAAAAACAACTATAAAAAATAAAATAATCCCAAAAAAATAATAATAACGAATTTTTTTTGTTGTTGTTGTTTGACGTCATCATCATCTTCGTCTTCGTCGTCGTCGTTGTTGCATAATTTCTACAAAGGTTTTTTTCGCGAAAGTTTTCAATCGGTTTCATTTATCGCGATAAAAAAAATTGTTTATTTTTCCTCTTTTTTTTCTTTTCTTTCTCTCGTTAAGTTGATTAAAAATTATTTTAAAAAAATTTGATTTTATTTTTCCGCGGAAAATTGAAATTTTCCTTTTTTTTCTTCCATTGCTCTTTGACCTTTTGGTTTTTTCCTTTTCTTCTCTGTTTACGTTTGTTTTTTTTTTTTTTTTGGTTTTTCTTTTGAATCGTATATATATTTGTATTTCTTTGTTACCCTTTTATCATTATCATTATCGGTATATTTAAATTTTTTTTTTTTAATAATAATAATAATAATAATAATAATAATAATTAATAAGGTACGTTTGAAAAAAGATAAAAAACTGATTCTCCATTATGCGTTCTTCTCACAGCTTCCGCGAACATCATCGACACGTCGATCATCTGGAAAACAAAAAAAAATTTTTTTTTTTTCAAACTTTTTCTTTTTAACTCTCTCTCTCTCTCTATAGTGTTCGAACCTGTATTTTCGGACAGTCTTTCATGTGGCCATCTTGAGGAATCGTATTCGTGACGACGACGGCTTCGAAACAAGCATTGTTTATTCTAGATATGGCAGGTCCGGAAAATATACCGTGTGTTAATATGGCGTAGACTTTCGTAGCTCCGGCTTCCAAAAGCCTGTTAACAAAAAAAATTATTTATCAATTTTCCAGTTCAGGAGAGAACGAACGAGTGACCTTTTACCCCCTCCCCCATTTTCTTTCCCCCCACCACCACTTACTTTTCCGCAGCGTGACAAATCGTACCGCACGTGTCCGCCATGTCGTCGACCAATATGGCGACTCTGTCTTTAACATCTCCGACTAAAACCATCGAAGCAACTTCGTTTGCTTTTTTCCTCTCTTTGTGAATCAATGCAAATTCTACGTTTAATCGATCCGCTATCGACGTCACCCTGAAATCGTCAATCGTTACGTCATTAATTAATAATAATAATAATAATAATAATGACCCACCACCACCACCCATCCTCATTCGACGTTTCGTGTTTACCTTTTGGCTCCTCCCGCGTCTGGCGACACGATTATCGAATTTTTCCATTCGGGTATGTTTTCCTTTATCCATTTCAAAACGGCGGGTTCCGCGTACAAATTATCAACGGGTATGTCGAAAAATCCTTGGATTTGACTCGCGTGCAAATCCATCGTTATTATGTGATCCGCTCCTGCCACGGACAACATGTTGGCGACAAGTTTGGCGGAAATGGGAGCTCGAGACTGATTCGCAAAAGACAGCGAAAACAAAAACAAAAATCATAAAACGTCCGTTTAGTGATAATAATAATGATTGTGATGATAATAATAATAATATTTAGAGACGTGGATGGAGAAAAACGTCGAATGAAAAAAAAAGAAAATATTAGAAAAAAAAAAAATATATAAAAAAAACTTCGACTCCGGATGCGGGGGGCCCGAAAACCGAAGATCGATTGATCGACCTATCGGTCGATCGATCGATCGATACATCGATAAATCGATCATTAATTTTTTTTTTAACAAAGAGTTTTTGCAACAACTGCTAATTCCACTTTCGTTCTTTCACGCAAATAAACAATGACGATGATGATGATGATAATAATAATAATAATAATAATAATAATAATAATGAAAAGAAAACGTGAGGGAACGAGCCAGGAGTTGCAAAAACGTTTTTTCTTTCAACGAGGGGAGGGCGTTGACGGGAGGGACTAGGGGGGGGGAATAAATTGTTTTCACTTTTTTCGATTTATGATAATGATAATAATAAATATCCCCATTTAATCATGCTTATTATTATTATTATTAATATTTTATTTCTCTTTTAAAAACAATAAAATTTTAATAAACACGTGGACCAAAAAAAAAAAAAAAAAAAAACTTTTTCATGCCACCCCAAAAAATAAATAAAAATAAAATTAATTATTATTATTATTATTAGTTAGTATTAAGTGTGTGGTCACATGTTTTTTTTTTTTTTTTTTATTAAATGCAAAACAAACAAATATTATTATTATTATTATTATTAGGCCCCCCCCGCTTTCCTCTTTTTGTTCGTTTAAAAATTTTTTTGTGCCAAATTAATTATTACGATCCGACATATTTGTTTATTAATTTTTTTTTTTTTTTTTTTTGGG